TTCTGCATCCTGATCTGGGACATCAGCTCGTTCAGTCGACCCTGGGAGAGAGACAAGCGTCAGATTCGAGGAATGGCCCGGGGGGTGGGGTGAGCCCTTGGCCACGGCCCTTGGCCACCGTCTCCCGAGGCAGCCGAACGGGGTTCCCGATGTGGTGCCCGTGCGCGCCCTCCAGCTGCCCTTGCGCCCACCGTGTGCTTTTAGAAAATGGGTGGATCCGGGCAGGCGTTTTGTCCGGCAAGGCTTGCGACTGGCGGTTGGGAGATCTGAATGGCGGAGACTGTAAAAAAAAAAGGTCATTTGGCAGCAGCGGCTTCCGCAGCATAAGGACCTTCCCTGTGCTATGGAAGGCAAGCCGTGGCGGCCATCTTGTGACTGGCTCCACCTCCTGCAGCAGCCATTTTGTGGCTGTGCACGCCACGGTATGTCGGAACCCCGAGGTGCCAGCAGGCTCAGAAAAGTTTGGGACCCCTGCAGGAGAAGGAGGTGGCAGAAAGGACTGTACCACTTTGGACTCAAAAGGGAGTCATGTTTGTACTGCTTGTCCGTACTCTCCTTCGCAGGGCTCTTTTTGTAGCAGGAACTCCCCTGCACATTAGGTGACACACCCCTAATGTAGCCAATCCTCCAAGAGCTTACGGTAGCCCCTGGAAGAAGAGCTCTGTACGTTCTTGGAGGATTGGCTACATTAGGGGTGTGTCGCCTAATATGCAGAGGAGTTCCTGCTACAAAAAGAGCCCTGCCCGGGCTTGCAGCAACTGGGGACATCAGGGAGAAAGATTCACTGCAGCATTTCTCTGGAGTGCTGGATTTCCTCTTGCAAGAGTTTTTTCATGTGGGTGGCACATGAAAAAATAGTGAGCCCCCCCCCCCCCCGCGCTTTAAACCGTTGGGAAATACCTGGAAATTTGGGGGGGGGGGTGGAGCCTGGAGAGGGTGGGGTTTAGGAAGGGGGACCTCGGCAGGATATAATCCATCCTCCAAAGCAGTCATTTTGTCCAGGAGAACTGACCTCTGTAGTCCGAAGATCAGTTGTGATTCCGGGAGATCTCCAGGCCCCACCTGGAGGCCGGCAACGCTAACCAGGAGAACTGCACCCGGACGGCACAGGCAGGCCTAGTGAGCCACTGGCCTGACTCTGCACTGACTCTCTTGCTGGCTGCAACCTCAAGCTTCACTAGAAAGCAAGCCTGTGCTGTCTTTGGACATATGCCCCTTGCGAGCTTTCAAGGGGCCGCTGACTTTTCAGAACCACCCAGCTTTTTCGCTCTGAGAAGCACCGGGGGCAGAACGGCGAGAGCCTAACACGAGACCTTCTCTGCGGAACCTAAGGAGCGAAAGCGACCTATGTGCGAGAAGGATGCCACCTTCCCCGTTAGCGAGACGCGATGCGGATTCGTAGGGGAAAGAGCGGCGTCCTTTGTCCGGAGGGACTGCAAAGGACCTATCATCGTTGGGGGGTGCTGCACTGGCCCTGCGGCCACCCAGGGGCCTCTCTCCCACGGCCGTGAATCGCTAACCTTGAACTGCGTGGGGGCGTTGAGTTCGCACTGGATGGTGTCCAGCTGCACGCGGAGCTGCTCCTCCTCGGCCTGGATGGCGTAGCCGCTTTTCCTCTGGATCTCTTGCTTGATTAAGACCTGCGTGGAGATCGCCAGATAAAATGGCTAAGTGCTATAAAGAGGTGTCAGGAAACTGCTGGAGGTGTAAAAATAACGTGGGTACCTTCTTTCATATGTGGTGGCGGTGTGAAAAAGATTCATAAATTTTGGAAGGGTATTAAGCAGTTAATTACAGAGATCATGAGCACTGAATTGCAGTTAGTACCAGAAATCTATTTACTTAATATAATACCAGATGGATATAGGCATGATGAAATATGTATTTTGTCATATAGCCTTACTGCAGCCAGGATATTGATTGCTAAATGCTGGAAATCTGAAAACCTACCTGCTAGAGAGGCGTTGATTATAAAAATCTGTGATGTGGCAGAAAAGGATGTTGAATATGATTCCTTCAGGTAAAGAGGATAAGGCTTTTCAAAAGAGATGGTTTAGTTAATAAATGGTTGGGGGAAAATACATAACTCCATCATTATATTTCATATACAAAACATTGTTACTTTTTTAATTTGGTTTTTATTTTATTTATTTATTTTTGTGTATGTGTGTTTTTGTAATGAAAATTATAATTTTTGTGATTCTTTTTTGTAATGGAAAATCATATTGTGATTGGAAAATCATAAATAAATTTGTAAAGAAAAAAAGACCTGCATGGCATCACCATGTATTTATTTATTTATTTAGACTTCTGGTAGGCTCAGGGCGGGGACCAACATATAGGTCTGCAGATAGTGCAGACTTACAATTAACATGTCGCAACGGTTCACTAAAATCAATGCAATCACCAACACACTAAAACGACAACGCGCCTCAATGGATAGTACTGCCCCCGGGGAACTGGTCTCTGGAGATGGTGAGCTGCGATTCCAGGGGATCCCCGGGCCCCACCCGGAGGCTGGCATCCCTAGTGCCATGGTGCCCACCAAGTGTTTTTAGGAAGTGGTTGGGCCCTGGGTGAACTCTTGCACAGCAGGGCTTCTGACAGGCGGTACGGATAAAAATAATGCTGCTTCTGTGGCGACGCCCACCACGGTGTTGGTTCCTTCTTTGGCTTCCTTTTTTCGCAGTGCGTTTTTTTTTAAAAAAAATCAACCCTGCTGCTCTCCTGCCCTTGGAGTTTCCTCTGTGTGGCTCTGGCTCTCCCGAGGTGGGCCATGTGGTGTTCGGCCCCACCTCCGCTGGCGGCCGTCTTGTGACGGCACCGATCGCCCTGGGTCAGGCATCCAAAGGTGCCCACGGGCAGAGAGAGAAAAGGGGGCGGCTGGGGAACCCAGCTTACACCTTTCCCCCATATCGATAGTTCCGTCCTAAACCCAAGGCCTTGGCTCTTTGTTACTTTAAAATAAAACGAAAGGACAAACAAGTGACTGTTTGTTAGGGTTCTTCCTGGTGGGGGTGGTGTGGTGTATATCTCTTTAAGATCAAGTTGTATTGTTTCTATACACCTGAAAAGGATTGAGAGGGGCACTCCTCCCTCTCTCCGTTTTTTAAGCCTTCTTCCCTGCAGGTCGGGGTTTATCTTTTATTGAGGAAACTATTGAATAAACAAGGTCGTGGACCTGAACTGTGTTGTGCTTGTGAGTACGGCTGCAGCGCTATAATAAGAGACATTACAGGTGGAAAGTCAAGCCTCGGCCCACTCAAGGCAAACCCTCGTGGGGTTTTCAAGGCAGGAGATGGTTCAGAGGTGGTCTTGCCGTGGCCGGCCTCTGTGGTGCAACCCTGGACTTCCTCGGGGGGTCTCCCATCCAAGCACTCACCGGGGCCGGCCCTGCTTAGCTTCTGCGGTCTGACGAGACTGGGCTGGCTATCAGGGAAGAGACAAGCAGAGGTGGTTTTGCCATCGCCTGCCTCTGCATCATCATGACCCTGGGGACCTCCTCGGGGGCCTCCCCTCCACGTGCCCACCAGGGCCACCCAGGTCAGGACAGGACTCCTTCCAATTTGCCTTGTCACTGTGTGGCACCACCAGCCCTGCCTGCCGTCAGACCGGTAACTGCGACCCTGCAATCCAATGTTCAGCCCACAGGCTCTTTCTCCTGCTCAGCACATTGCCACGGATGCCGGTGCCGACTGGGCAAGAGAGATGAAACGTTCCCCCCGCCTCTTTCAAGATTGCCCGAATGCCGGACGGTGTTTCTCCTATTCTGTTTTTTTGGCCCCTTAAACGCCTGGCGTGACCTCCAGCAGAAGCACAAAAGCAACCCACAGCCCACAACCTTTTGCTCCTCTGAGCCAGTTTGGCGCAGTGGTGAAGCGCACGGACTCTAATCTGGGAGAACCGGGTTGGATTCCCCGCTCCTCCACTTGCGGCCAGGTGGGTGACTCTGGGTCAGTCATGGTTCTTTCAGAGCTGTTCTCTCAAGGGCAGTTTCTGTTTAGAGCTCTCTCAGCCCCACCTACCTCACAGGGTGTCTGTTGTGGGGAAGGAGTTTGTGAGCCGCTCTGGGACTCTGAGTGAAGGGCAGGGGCATAAATCCAATCCCTTCTTCTTCTTCCAGTTCCTAACAACTCCCCCAGGGGGCACCACAGGCACACTTCAAAAACTACCTAGGACTGGAGTGTGTTGCTGACTGCTTAGTAGCTACGACTTCTGTCCTAGGCCTTCAGTAGCAGCCGAAACAATCCTTGTTTGAACAGTGTTGATATCGACAATGCGCAGGCAGCGTGTGTGTTTGTATATGAGAGAGAGACAGAGACAGTGAGTGAGTGAAGTGCCGTCAATGGCAACCCTTTGAATCAATGTCCTTCAAAACGTCCTCTCACTAACAACCTTACTCGGGTCTTGCAAACTGAGGGCCCTCGTGACTTCCTTGACTGAGTCAATTCATCATATGTTGGGTCTTCATCCTTTCCTGCCGCCTTCCACTTTCCCTGGCATGATTGTCTTTTCCCGGGACTCTGGTCTTCTCAAGATGTGGCCAAAACATTTTCCAGGCATTCAGCCAAAAGGAGGTGTGGAAGCAATAGGTTTGGGCATAAAGTCAAAACTGAAGTAGTAGTTAAAATAAAGATAAGACAGTCCGGGCAGAGAGCCAGACTGTGAAGTAATCTAAAAGAAACAATAATCTGGCTGGTAAGACTTAACAATAAGAAAAGCACTTATATTACGCTCGTTACCCAACCTAATGTTAAAACTACGCAAGTAAGATGTGGCCAAAGTATGACAGCCTCAGTTTTGGTCGTTTTAGCCCGTTCATAGTGGTGAGGAGCGCGGACTCTAATCTGGGAAAACCGGGTTTGATTCCCTACTCCTCCACGTGCAGCTGTTGGTGTGACCTTGGGTCAGTCACAAGTTCTCTCAGGAGGTCCAGGGTTGCTACGCAGAGGCAGGCCATGGCCAACCACCTCTGTATGTCTTCTGCCCCGACCTGATCGGCCGAGGCGAGGCTGACCTCATCAGACGCCAGAAGCTAAGCAGGGTTGGCCCTGGTGAGTGCTTGGATGGGAGGCCACCGAGGAGGTCCAGGGTTGCTACGCAGAGGCAGGCCATGGCAAAACCACCTCTGTTCACCTCTTGCCTTGACAACCCTACATGTTCACAGGAAATCACATGAAGCTGCCTTCTACTGAATCAGACGCCGGGTACATCAAAGGTCAGTACTGTCTACTCACACTGGCAGAGACTCTCCCGGGTCTCAGGCAGAGGACTTTCACATCCCCTACTGCCTGCTCCTTTTAACTGGAGACGCTGGGGATTGAACCTGGGGCCTCCTGCATTCCAAGTGGATGCTCCGCCCCTGAGCCACAGTGGCTATAAGCCACAAGGTATAGATAGGGACTCTGGGGCAAGTGATGCTCTGTCTTCTTGGTGCTTGGGGGGGGGGTCAACAGTGGGAGGGCTTCTAATGTCCTGGCCCCACTGGTGGACCTCCTGATGGCACTGGTATTTCTGGCCACTGTGTGACACAGAGTGTTGGACTGGATGGGCCTTTGGCCTGATCCAACACTGGCATCTCTTATGTTCTTATGTTCACAGCCCCTCCCCGTAAGCCAGTTGCAACTTGATGGCTCTTTGAGACCCACGCTTAGAATGTCAGACTTCAGCACTGCCCAGTGAGACTGATGGGCTGCAGACTGAGGACATGCAAAAGGAAATTCTCAGGGGATCTGCAGCCACTGGAATAGACGGTTTTAAAAAGGGATTCAACCGAGATCTACCCAGTGACTATAACCCACCACCCCTCAAAGGAACCTTCATGTTCAGAGGCAGACTTCCTCCAGATAGCAGCAGTTGGGGGACAAACAACCACAGCAGGGCGTCTGCGTTTCTACTGGCTTCCCATTTGCTTGGAAATGAAAGGCCAAACCAGACAGACCTCGGGTCCAGTGTTCCCTCTGAGCTGAGTCAGTGTGAGCTAGCTCACAGTTTTTTAGCCTCCGGCTCACACATTTTTGCCTTTGCTCAGGAAGGAGGGCTCCAGAGCAAACTAATCAATGCAGTAGCCAAATCGCTCCGCTCACAACTTGAATGCCGGTAGCTCACAAAGGAGATTTTTTTTGCTCACAAGACTCCACAGCTTAGGGGGAGCATTGCTCGGGTCAAAAGCATCAGCGGTTTGAGTGAAGTAGTCTTCTGAGTTCCTGGTCGAATTCAGGTTTCAGCCAGGGACTTCCAGGCCCGCAGCCTGCCTGCTTCCCCACCGTATTAAGCCGGCTCCCTCCCTCCTCCTCCACCACCCGGCCGAACCGAGAAGCGGTGAGCGGCAGCCTACCTGCAGCGTTCTGTGCGAAAGGTCCATCAGCTTCCTCTTGTACTGGGCTATTTTGGCCATCGTCGTCGTCTGGTTTTTCTGCAACTCACTGATGTCTTCCGATATTATCTAGAGAAAGGGAAGAGGCGGCTCAGCAAGAAGGCCGTGTGGTTAGCAGTCAGACCCCTCCTCGCACTCAGTGGCAGTTTAGAGCTAGAATAACCATCTACACCCTTTTTAAAATATCGTCTCAAAAATCATAGTGCGAGGCACTGCCTGGGCTAAAACGGAACAAAGTGGATGCCAGCCGGGTAAGAGCTTGGGAAAGTATTTTGTATTTAAGATGTACTCTACTGTTTCAAATGTATGTTGGAAATGTCAAAATAATGTTGAGTCTTTTTACCACATGTGGTGGCTATGTGAACAGTGAAGAAAGATTGGTGTTGGATTCATGAAATATTACAAAAAATGTTGGGGACTGGATCAAGAAACTACTTTTTATGGTTGAAATGGACAAAATGACAAGGAAACTTAACAATTTGGAAGCAGAAGACTTTTTTTTGCAGACTGGAAAGACTTTAAAGACTATTTGGAAAAGTATTGGGATGTAAGGGACAATTTACTTTGCTTTGATAATTATTGATGGTTAAAGGATACTAAAAAATAGATAAAGATAAATGGACAGAAAATGGAAGGATAAGTTACCTAGAGATATGTGTAAGAAAGGGAGGGAAGAAGAACATCTAAGAAATGAAGCAGGAGGTTGGAGCACTGTGGGAAGCCAAACCGGGGGGGGTGGGGGTGGTAGGATATACAACTATATAAGTTTTGATTTACGTTTGACTTTGCTTATTCTATCCTAATAAAATGTTTTCCAAAAAAAAACCCCTACTGAGACACAACTGGACTAATCCCATCAACGTCCCACCTTTGCTTCCTCTGCTTATGCTCACCTTAATCAAGCGACAATTAATCAGTGCTCAGTTCTATTCACCCAACCCATTAGCTCTTCCCATCTAGTACTTACAGGGTTATCAAGCCTCTCCCAAATCGTTGTCCATCCCCAGTAAGCCCATCAAGGTTCTGGGATCACATCACCTCAGCCAGGGGGTCCGCTTTCCCCTATAATTGTGGCACCCTGCTCCACAGCACTGTGTGTATGTTCCTGGCCACAGCCCCATTCCACTTCGCTTTTCTTTGTGAAACGCTGGCCATTTTGCTGCTGCTTCCCAGACCTCTGCAAGACTGGTAAATATTACCCTTCCTCAGAAAAGCTTTCCCTCTGTCCTCTTTGATTTCCTCTTAGCTCTTGTGTGTGTTTTTATTTTGTGCATTTTTGGTTTATCCTTTCCTTTTAGGAGGGCGCGTGTTTACTCATCATGGTGTATCAACTAGATAGATTCAAGAGAGAACAACTCTAGTTTAACAAAGCCCTACACACACACACAAACAAACAAACACACACATATGTTATGGATTCAAATGACAAGCAAACTTTCAAAAGGGCATGGCATGATAGCTGCAGTGATTCAGAGCCTGCCCATCAATCCATGTACCTGCCCATCAATTCATGTACCTCCCCATCAGGTAGGAGATGAGCTTTTCTAAATTCCCATTTCCTGTTGAACATCTGCCTGGTCTATTTGCGAGTTCTCTTAAAGGGAGAAATCCTCATATACATAGGTGGAGAATCCCAGTTACCCCCTCTCGCTCTGTCTCTTTTAAGCTAATTCCCCCAACTAATTAGGAGATCGCCTATTTGGGTAACACACAGCGGGGTATCCAAAAAACGTGCTGTCCCATCTGTAACGTGCTGTCCCATCTGTACGTCATCAGCTGTGTAAAACCTCTCTGGAAGCTTTCACTAGTTGCCAATTCACAGGTTGGGGCACAACTCCAATTCAACTCTAGAGGGAAGAGCCTTTTGCACAGAGCAACATCCACAATCCGTACTGAAGGCAAGCTGCAAGCAGAGAGCAAGGGTGGATCTGATAACACTACGCTAGTGATGCCTGCCAGGAAGGAAGTATTTCTCTCCACTAACCAGCCGGTGCCATTAAGTACGGTAAGTGCTCCTGGCACTATTGAAGCACGTTCCACAATTGACAGCTGTATAATGGAAGAGATCTTTATCAACGTTGCTACTGGCCAAAGGAAATCAGGGTAACAATCATAGAATCACAGAGTCGGAAGGGGCCATCCAGGCCCTCTAGTCCAACCCCCTGCTCAGTGCAGGATCAGCCTAGAGCAGTGATGGCGAACCTTTTAGAGGCCGAGTGCCCAAACTGCGACCCAAAACCCACTTATTTATCGCAAAGTGCCAATACGGCAATTTAACCTGAATACTGAGGTTTTACTTTAGAAAAAACCACTCATACATTAACTTAAGATGATCCAAACAAAGTAAGGAAAGCAATCCCAAATGCTTTCATTTACTTAAAATTATTTGGCAGAGAATTCGACACTTTAATGATGGTCTGGGCCTGGCTGGGGCGATGGCACGCGTGCCCACAGAGAGGGCTCTGAGTGCCACCTCTGGCACCCGTGCCATAGGTTCGATACCCCTGGCCTAGAGCATCCCTGACAAGTGTCTGTCCAGCCTCAGCTTGAAGACTGCCAGGTAGGGGGAGCTCACCACCTCCCCAGGCAGCTGATTCCACTGCTGAAAACCCTTACTGTCAAAAATGTTTTCTTGATATTCCTGCCCTCAATTTAAACCCATTCTTGCGAGTCCGCTCCTCTGCTGCCAACAGGAACAGCTCCCTGCCCTCCTCGAAGTGGCAGCTCTTTAAATACTTCCAGAGAGCGATCCTGTCCCCCCTCCGCCTCCTCTTCTCCAGATTGAACGTTCCCAAGTCCCTCAGCCTTTCCTCGTAGGGCTTGGTCTCCAGGCCAAACATGAACACCACTTGAGGAGCTAGGAGTTCTTGGGCAGGGGTGGGTGGGAGAGAGGAAGACACGCCAGCCCTCTCCTTTACACTCTATGGTCTGAGCTGTAAAAGTCAGGGCCTCAGTGCAATTCTCCAGTGTACAGCATGCTTGATTCTCTGGTTCCCCCAAAGCCCTCTGGGATTTCATGCCGACGTGTCACTCTAAGGACTTCAAACAGGGCCTAAAGAAAGGGAACTGGTTGACTGGCACTCGAGGCCCGGCAAATGGTAACTATTTCAAAATGAGAATGCTGTAGAACAGCATGCAACACGTTCAAATCATTCTAGCTGGCGTCTACTATGCTTATTAAAGTGAGCTGGCAAATGCAAAAAACAGGGGCTGCTGTGTCGCCTTCCGGACATTTCTTTCTTTTTCTTTTTTGGTATTTGTGTTTGTCTCTGCACCTGGAAGTCATGTTGACCTCTGGTGACTGACCCCTACTGGGGTCCTGGAGGATATTCAGAGAGGTGGCTGAATAAAGCCTGCCTTTGTCCTCCCGACTTGGAATTCACTGCCACAGGAGGTGGTGGTGGCTACAAGCATGGATGGCTTCAAGAGGGAACTGGATAAGCATATGGAGCAGAGGTCCATCAGTGGCTATTAGCCACAAGGTATAGATAGGGACGCTCAGTCTGGGGCAAGGGATGCTCCGTATTCTTGGTGCTTGGGGGGGCGGGCGACAGTGGGAGGGCTTCTAGCGTCCTGGCCCCACTGCTGGACCTCCTGATGGCACCTGGTATTTTTGGCCACTGTGTGACACAGAGTGTCGGAACATTGGCTTCTCTTATGTTCTCATTCCAAGGAAGTCTCCCATCCAAGCACTAACCACAGTCGACCCTGCTTAGCTTCCGAGATCTGATGAGATCGGGCTTGCCTGGGCTATCCAGGGCAGGGTACTTCCCATACATTTCTGATGTCAACCTCCAAATGGGGAAAAGTGACAAATCTTTTCCTGGAAGTTTCTCTCACCACAAGTATCACATGCTTATGGATTATCCATCTATCGCATCTTGGGGAGCAGACGCTGCCCGACCGTGCTGTGAAATACTGCTCCTGGCGCTCTCTCGCTTTTAAGAATACTAGCTGTTAAATGTGGGTTGCTGTGTTTTGTGTATTTTCTATGTAGGAGACCAGCTGAGCTCTGAGCAGGAGCAGGAGAGAGAGCTGTGAGAGAGGTGAGTGGGTTTCTTTTACTTGCTTTCAGCTGAGAGAATTCAGCTAAGGATATTTTGTGGGAAAACTGTGTTTAGCAGTGTGTGGAAGCACTTAGAGTTCTTGCAGAGTTCTGGCTGATTGAGTGTGGGAGAGGAACGGGCATTTAAGGAGGCCTCTATTTAAGGAAGCACCTTGCCAGAGGCACGAGCCTCTGGCACGAGCCAAAGGGCGAGCTAAAGGGCTCTTAGACTAGGGGCTCTGTAAGAAGCCCAAAAAGAGACAGAAAGACAAGGCCCTAGGTTCTTTGTCTTTCCCGTAAAATAATTTGACTTTGATAACAAAAACCACATAAATACCAAGGGTTTAAAAGGGGGATTATATTTATTTATTTTAAAAGAATTATGAAGCCAGAATGCCAGCAGGGGGTTGGGGGCTATCCAGTGTTTTGCACGGAGT